AAAAAAAAAAAAAAAAAAAAAAAAAAAAAAGGAAAGAAAGGAAGAAAGAAAGAAAGAAAGAAAGAAAGAAAGAAAGAAAGAAAGAAAGAGAAAGAAGAAAGAAAAAGTGAGAGAGAGATGAAAGAAAAAAAGGAAAAAGGGACAGAGAGACAAGAGGAAGGAGAGAGAGAGAGATAGAGAGAGAGACCAAATGGCCAGCAAGCCACTCCCACCAGGTCACATGGCAAGCAAGCCACTCCCACAAAGGAGGCCACACCCACAGAGTAGGTTCGAAAATTTTTTGAAATCCACCACTGATACAGACCCAGCAAACTGGGTTACAGCTTAGCTATGATTGATTCCAGCATTCGAGCCTTCAAACAACTGTCCCCCTGCAGTTGAACGGAACAACAGAAGCACACAAATTTGTTTGGATGTTGCCGCTACAATTTTTGTCCCATTTTTTCTGGTTTCTACAATTAGATGTTTTTTTTTTCCTGTGACGATCTATTTCTATTGCCTTCTTTTTGTCTCTTTTTGATTTGTTTAAGGTTTTTCTTACATTTTCTTAACCTCCTTTGATTTCTACCTTATAAAAACAAAATTACACAGATACACACCTTTTTCGTCAACGTGAACTGCATGCGGTTAGTATTCTTTGCATGGTTTTAAAAACTTCCGATTATATCTGGGGGGCAGAGAGAGAGAGAAAAAAGACAGCGACATCTGCATTTCTTTCTTTTAGGAAGGTGTGATTTGAGTTCCAACTTTTTTTCCTTCCTTTCTTTCATTCTTCCTTCCTTCCTTTCTTCTTTCCTTCCTTTCTTTCTTTCTGTTTCTTACTTCCTAACTTTCTTCCTTCTTTGCCTTTAATTACAGACTGAATCCTAACGGCAAATAAGAACAAAAAAACACCAGAATAACAAAATAAAAAAGGGTGAATTTGACAAGAAAGTAAAATAGAGCCCAACCTCTTACACAGGCACCACCCAAATTTGGGGGAGGGGATTTGTCTTTCCTTCTTGTGGGTACGAGAATTAAACCCTGGCAAAACAATGCCTCTTTTTGCTTACAGATCTCAGATTCCAGGTCAGCTACTGGCCTCTTTACAAAAACAGTGGGTCAGTTGGGGAACCAAATCAAAGAGAGCGGAGATGCGCACGAATATGATTCGGGAAATGCAACTTCTTCCCCTCCGTCCGTTCAGACCAGCACATCCAGGTCAAAAGACAGCCAAGAAAACAAGGGTGAAGCCCCCGATGGCTTCGGCCAGGCCTTCTCTCCCGGGAAAACCGGCAGCGTCAGCAGTCCCGATTCGGGGAATTCACTGCACAGCTACAGCTCCCAAGCCAAAGGGACGGTTTTGGAAGAACCGAGTCCATCTCCCCGGGATCTGTGCAAAGATCAAAAGTAAGTCGTCCTTCAACCCTCAAGGCATCCCTGGCCTGCTCTTGAGTTGCCATAAGAAAAGGGGAGTGGGGAACCGATGAATCGGTACGGCAGCAAAAGACAGGTGCACATTCCAGTCTTATCTCTCTCAAGGCTGTATCCCAGGGTTACTTACAGCGGCTGGAGAGGCACGATCTCTACAACCCGTGAAACTGCCCCATTGGTGAATGTGATTGATGACACACCCTGGGGGGAGGGGGGAAATAGGGTCATGATTGGGGTCGTAAATTAAATGGGGTAAGAGCTGGCTTCACTTGGGAACGTGCCAACAATGAGCTCTGAACACATAGCCCTTATAAGCAGTATCCTGAATAACAGGAAATGAGCTTCCTATGCTCTTCTTTGCTGTCCTCACCACTCTCAGTAGGAACTTTCTATCTGAGGTGCTGCTGCCACGAAACAAAATTGTGACGCGATTTGTTAAAACGCTCTCAATCGTGCCTCTGTAAAAAGTGGCCAGGACAGAAGGAGAAAGATGTGCTCTCCTCAGAAAGGTTTTTGAAAGTTGTGTGTCTTGTAAAAGAGGTACGTCCTCATTCGTCCCCGGCCATCTAGAATCACTGTCCTTTTCTGGAATACCTTTCTTTTCAGTGGAGAGCCTTGGCCATCTCTTGAGCCTCTTGAAAAGAAGAAGGACGACATTGTCTCGCCCCCATTTTCCAGTTCTCCACTTCAGCCATGTCTTCGAAATGTATCTCCTTCTAGCAGGTCATCTCTGGACTCTAGCCACTCTGGACCCTTTCATCACAAGGTGAGACGCAGATCTTCACCAAGCCCATCTTGTTGTTCATCAAAATCAAGGTGAGTAACATGCTGGGTAATTTGTTTATTTTATTTATTTGTATCCTGCCTTTCTTATTTCTACAAATAACTCGTGGCGGTGAACACATACCTACCTCCTCCAATTTTTCCCACCACAGCAATACTGGGACTAGAACTCCCCATCTCCTGGCTTTCATGGCTGAGATGGGACTAGAACTCACACTGCAGCTTTCCAGCTTAATGCTTTAACGACTAGACCAAACTACTCTAGGAAAAAACTAGGAGCATGAAGTATTCAAATAAGACCACCTGTTTCCCAATGATTGTGCACTGACTGGTACCTATTATGTTCCCAAATAAACTAGCTAAGACTGCTGATCAAAGCCGTTAGGTGTGTTGGCTTTCAAATGGGTTTGCTTGTATACGAGAGTATCTGGGGTTTGCTCCCCGTTCATGTATAGGAGCTTTCCATGCTGGTTGATAGGGGTTGGTTTTCTCCTTGTTAGTTCCTTATTTAGGGTATTGTTTTCTACTTCATTGTTTGTCTGGTGTTAATCCCTGCTTATCTGGGTATTGGCTACTGGAGAAGGTGTTTTCTGCCTTTGGGTTTTTTTATTGTTCCTTTTCAATGGTGAGTTACTGTGGTTATGTATCAAAAACAATATCCTAATCAAGGAATTATAATATAAAAAACATACCACCACCATAGGGCATATCAACAGGGCCAGCCTGAGGGAGAGAAGGGGATAGGCGAGGATCAACAGGGCCAGCCTGAGGGAGAGAAGGGGATAGGATAGGAGAGGTCTCTGTGGCAAACCTGAAGGAGAGAAGGGGAGAGGAGAGGATCAATGGGCCCAGCCTGAGGGAGAGAAGGGATAGAAGAGGATCAATGGGGCCAGCCTGCGGGAGAGAAGGGGATAAGATAGGAGAGGTCTCTGTGGCAAACCTGAAGGAGAGAAGGGGAGAGGAGAGGATCAACAGGGCCAGCCGGAGGGAGAGAAGGGGAGAGGAGAGGATCAATGGGGCCAGCCTGAGGGAGAGAAGGGATAGGAGAGGATCAACAGGGCCAGCCGGAGGGAGAGAAGGGGAGAGGAGAGGATCAATGGGGCCAGCCTGAGGGAGAGAAGGGATAGGAGAGGATCAACAGGGCCAGCCTGCGGGAGAGAAGGGGAGAGGAGAGGATCAATGGGGCCAGCCTGAGGGAG